CCTCCCCTCCCCTCCCCTCCCCTCCCCTCCCTCACTCCTCAGTCCGCCAGCTCTGCGGGCGCCAAGTCCATGTCAGCTGCCACCGCCGGTGCGTCCCCCGCCAGCACACCCTCCCCCCCCAGCAAGCCCTCCATCCTCACCCGCATATTCAGCCGCAAGAAGTCCAAGAAGGCGGCCACCGCAGAGGCGGCAGCAGCAGCAGCAGCGGGTGCGGTTTCCTCAGGCGGTGCATCCGACACCGAAGGCGGTGAGGGCGCCAGGACCAGGGGGACCGCCGGGGCGCTGTCCAGCTCCCGCAGCGGCGGGAATGGTGGAGGTATTGGCGGTCCCGTAGGTCTACCCGAGGAGGGAGCCAAAAAGGACAAGGACATAATCGGACATATCCACTTCAAGGTGCGGTGAAGGGAAAGAGAGGGGGGAGAGAACGGGGAGAGACTTGTGCTTTCATTTAATCGCGTGTTTTGCAATTGGCTGAGAAGCAACAAAGGGATGAAATGTTGACGGTTTTAGGGTTGCGGATTAACGTGCCGGAGGGTCATGGGTCAGGAAGTGCTGGTGGGTTGGCGGTTGGCGGTTGTGGCGGGGGTTGGTTGAGTGGTTGGTGGTGGACAGGAAGGGATGGTGTAATTTCTGTGGGTCTTGGGAAAGATGGAAAGGGACTGTGCGGCAACCTGCGCAGTGGAGACAGTGAAGACTGCAAGCTGCCGATTATTCCTTTCTCAAACGGGGACACACTGCGCAGCAATAATACACACGCGTCGTGGCACGCGGCATGTACTGTGTATGCAGTATGTCCTGTCTGGTAACTCTTTCCGGGGTGTTGCGGCGGCATTCCTCTTCCTTTCTTTGCAGATCGAATTCGTTCGCTTCAACAAACCCGAGTACGACGACGTGAATGCGGAGAAGGAGGAGAAGTCCAAGACCCGCGACCCCTACCTGAGCATGTTCCCGGGGCCCCCGGGCCGTACATTGGCGCTGCTAGACGGGGCCGGAGGGGCCGGCAGCAGCTCCAAGCTGTCCCACGTGAGTCACCTTCCCCCTCTTCAACAACTCCTAACCAACCCAACCACCAACCCGCAACCCACGCCAACAGGATTCTAATTTCCCCCGACATTCCCTTCGGCGGTCCCCTTGGGCCGCGCGCGCGCGTGTGTGTGTATGTAGTGCTCTGTTTGCCGCGCGACTGCCCCCTCCTCTTCGCTGTCACCAACCCCCGCCCCTTCTGTCGGAACTCGGCAGTTGTATCCTTCGCTTCTTTTGCATACACACCCCTCCCACTGTCGCATCACAACTTACACCATTAGTCATCGCGACGAGCCACAGCAGCCACGGGCCCCGCGGGGGCTTTGAGACGGCAGCTTTGAGATCCAATGCCCTCCCGCCCTCAGGAGGGGCCTTTGGGGGGAACGCCTAGGACCCGAGGCGAGCCCTGCGTGGTGCCCTGGCCATTGCTCGCCTGCAGGTTACCTGCCCCGTTCCCGCGGATAACAATCCCTACTATCGCGTGCGTGTGGTGTTCATGTGTGTGTATGCGGCATGCAACAGAACCTAATGATGCCTCTTTGCGCTGTCCTTGCTGAGAGCGTGTCGGCCCTAGAAGCGCTGCCCGCCATTCGCTCCCGTCACGCTCTACACCTGTTTCGCGGCATTGCCGTGGGTTCTCGGGTGCTGCCTGGGCCTCTCCCGTATTCCCTCCAGACTGGATCCTGCTCCCCCCCGCCCTCCCCACCCTCCCCCCCAAACCCCCGACCCACCAGCACACACACACACACCCCGACGGAGCAGCCGTCGTCCGTGAAGCCGCCGTGTGCACCATGCGGCAGCTCCACTGCCACGTTAACCCCCGGTGCTCTTTAAAACCCCCCGTACCCCCCCCCGTACCGCTTCATCTCCCCGATCTCAGGGCGTGCTCACAGTCCAGCTCATTCGCTGCATTGATCTGGCTCCGGAGGGGGCCAAGGACCTGGCCACCTATGTGCGGATGATCGTGACCAACGACAAGAAGGACGAGAAGCAGGTGTGCCCGTGCATGTGTCCCTGCATGGGGCCCCTGGTGCCTGTCGCGGATGGCCGCTGACTGCCCTCCGTGCGCCACCCACCCTTCCGCCACCGCATGGCCCACAATATGAGCTCCTGGCACATTCCCACCTCCCGCTCGACTGGGGGACCGTACCGGCACCCCCTGGATGGGCCGAATACCCGCCCGGAGAGCAAACCAGCCCTGGATGATGGCTGCCGGTGTGGATACTTTGCTTGGACCGTATTCCCTTTCCCTCGACATGGGGCCTATCTGCCAGTCCGTGTTGCTTTCGGGTAACATTGTGACGTTGCAGCTGAGTTGGTTTGTCTTTTCTTAGGGCCCCCCCCCCCACACACACACGTAACTCCCCCGGGGCTATCCTCGAGTGCTTTGGGCTTCGCCGCCCTCCCCTCCCCCAACTGCCCTGGCAGCAGCTTCACTCGTTTGTGGTTCGTCTTTCCCCCAACTGGGGTCGATTGCTTCATCGCTTAGGACTCACTGGGGCCAGTGAGTTTCGAACTTTGCCGCAAACGTCCGGCAGTTCATTTCTGGTTTTCCTGCATATAATTTCCCCACCTCCCCTCCCCCGGCCGCTCCCCGGGCGCGCCCCCCACACCCCCGCGTTCCGAGCAGACGAGCAGCGTCATCGTAAACGAGACCTCACCTCGTTGGGGTGACAAGTTTGACTTCGTGCTAATTCCGTCCACCTCGGAGCTTCACATCCACGTGCACAACAAGCCGGGGGTGCTGGGCAATCTAGTGGGCTCGCTGCTGAGGAAGAAGGGCGAGGTAGGGCCCGTGCTCTGTATGTATGTGGGTGGGTGTGCGTGGCTGTGGGTGTGTGGGTGCTTCTTGGGTGCGTGGTCTTGTGGGGGTGTGTTTGTTGGCGTAACGGTCCTCTGGAGATGCGTCGGGGTTGGGGTGGGAATGGGGAGATGGCGGACTTCGCAGATGGCGCATCGCTGGTAGATTAGGCGGCAGGGGGCACTGGCAGTGGGAGGGGGGGCAGGGGGGGCTTAGAGGGGAAGGGGAGGAGGGTTAAGGGGAGGGGTGGGTGCATGTTGCACCGCCAACACACAACACGGACGACTTCAGACACTTTTGACTTTACACATGCTGCATGTCTTCTACTTGGCTGCCTTCCTGATGGTGGCTCTGGCCTGTCCTCCCGGGCTCACGTCTGCCTTGTCTGCCATTGTCTGCATCACGGTCCTTCGCCCGCCAACAGCTGCCCGCGCTCAGCTGGCTTTTTTTCTTATCTTTCCAAGCTATCACATCTACCATCCTTACCTTCCCCCTTAAACCCCTCCCCCTCGCTTCCCCGTCACTCCCCAATCTGTCTATATGCATGTCTATACGTACGTGTATTGCCATGAAAACCTCACGCCACCGCCGCCGCCGCCGGTGTCCTATCCTGCGGCCCCGCCTCCACCACCCGCGCAGGAGACTGACCCCATAATGGGCAAGGTGTTGATCAATGTCGAACATGTGGCTCGAAACGGCCGCATCAAGGAGACCTGGGCGCTGGAGGATGCGGAGCGCGGGTACATCGAGCTCAACCTCTCCTGGCAGACATGTCACCTGTCCAGGGACCAGCAGCTGCATTAATATGCGGAGAGGACATCGGGCCCGGGGGCAGAACATCGGGCATCGGGCCCGGGGGCAGGACGAGGCGGCAAGGTGGTAAGACGTACCAAAAAGTGTGGCTTGTGCATGTGGCGCATGCAGGCTGGCTCTTGGAAACCCCTGCGCGAAGGGGGACAGTTACCTAGTCTTCGATCGACGACGAAGGATGAGAGGAGTGAGGAGGTTCTGGGTACATGGGTGGAGAGGTGGTGAGAGGATGGTGGCGTTGTTTTTATTATATGATAGTTGGCTTGGGGGCCGGGGTAGCGGCCGCCGGTGCTGAGGGGGAGGGTGTTGGTGGGGGTAGGGACATGCATGCCACCGGACGGGCCATGAAGGTGCTGTATTCTCGTTGCGCAGTTTGGGAGGGAGCAGCAGGATGGGATGAATATACAGGCCTACGAGTTGGGTTGTTCATGGACCAGGTTGTTTGATGTTGTTGCGCGCGTGCAGCATCGGGCTCTAGCTATCGCATCCTCCTCGACCGCTGCTCCAAAAGATAAGAACGGAAGCGGCTGCCCTCCATTTATTTATGGGCAAAAGCTGAAAAGGTTGGTATAACGTTTATATAATAGTGTGTGTTTACAGTTCCATAAAGCTGACGGTTTGGGGCGTAGTGGTTCTTGGGCGCTGGTTGCCTAATGCGTGCGATCCCCGGTTTGGTTGGACCCCCATGGGGCTGCGGAGGCCGTCGAGGGGCGGAATCCAGGGGCAAACTGGTGTTGTGTTGTAGGCTACCTTGGTGTAGTAGTAGGTAGCATCCTGAGGGGGACCTGGACAAGAGGCTCTTGTATCCGCCTCCTGCTGCTGGTAACAGAGCGGACGTGTAGCGCACATGGGGCCGGGCGGGCGGTGGGGGCGGGCCCGCTAGCGCACGTCTGCGTTGGAGCTGCGTCACGTCAGCAGCGTGCGTGCGCCATGGCTTGTCACGTGAAATACGTCTGTCTGTATCGCTCCGGGCTGTTTTGTTTTGTTCCTCTTCGTCGCTTACTGTTGGCTTGGCTGTGTGGATGTTTGCGAGCTAAGAAAGTTTTCCTGGGTGGTTGTTTCTGACTTTGGACACGTGTTGTGTGAAGTGGGTTGTAGTGAGGTGTTGGCTTGAAGCTTCTTGGCTAGGTGCTTGGCGGGTGTTTTGCGTCTCGCGCGTGGTGACTCGCATGGTGCGGCCTGGCAACCTCCCTGGCGATTTTCCCGCCATTTTCCTTGACTCGTACATATGTGCACGGTGTGTTCCGTCACCCAGCTGTCGTGTTGGGATGTACTTCTCACGCGCGGGCTGGCCAGCAGCTGCTTGCCTTCCAGCCGCTTTGCAATCCTTTTTGAGCATAAGACAACACGTACATACAATATTGTTGACCTGCATGGCAGTGTATTGCAACGAATTGATGATTAAGGGATATGCAGCATGAAGACCCCCTGGGTACGGCTGTCTGGTCTCGTACGTACGCCGTACAGGATCACTCCTGTAATGCGGCAGTGCCCTGCTTCCTGTCAAGTGGTCTGTTGCCGCCGAGTCCCTCATCCTCAGCTCTGTCCTCCAAATGTATCACGTGCGCGTCCAGCTGCTAATTTGTTCCAACTGGAGCCTAGCCTGTCCATCCACATAAACAATACAGAGCTTGTCTCAATAATATAAATAGGGTCTAGTTCACCCGCGTGGTAGTTAACCGCGTCGCGCTATCAGCACGCAGGTCATCGTACCACACATGCAGCATATCACCATCGTCACAGTAACATGCCGGGGCGGTGGTAGGGCGCTTCCCTTGGTAACTGCCATCGCCCCTTCTTTCAGCGTAGGGCGCCAGGGGCCCTGTAACTCTTTTGGGTAGAACCGGGATTGGGCGTTTGGGCGAGCGGAAGCCGTACTGCCCCAGGTTGGATAGATGGGTTGAAGGGTGTCCAGATACATCCTGTCCTGTCGAGTATGGACCTCGTTGCTGGAGGAATCAGGCGAGGGCTCTGGGGCGCTCAGCTGCAGGTGTGTGTACTGCCGTCCTGACATCTTTGATTAGGTCATAATACGCGGCTAACCAGCTTGCTTCATTTCTTTCCTTGAGGTTCGGTGCAGGCAGAGGTGAGGCAGTCACGAGGCCGGATGAGCAGGACACGTTAAGGGGGAAGGAGAAGGAGGATGTGGGGTAAAGGTTGTCACCAAGCTTCACTTCTTGCCGGGAGCAGGGGGAGAACAGCTAGCTTTCTGTATGTGTATTTGGAATGCAAAGGTCGTACACTCACGGCGCTCAGCTCAGCGGCGCAAAGGGACGAGGGTGGGCACGGTTCCTGATTCCACTGCTGTACGACAATTAAATTTGAAGGAACAATACTGACTTCTGTTTTTGCCGTCGCCCCAAGATTTCGGGGCTAACATTCCGTCAGTTATGCCACCTCGATGATGATAATAGATCATAAATATAATGTCCTCGATTTTGGTTACGCTATTTGTGTTTGCTCTGCATTTGGCGATCATATCTGAGGCCTCCTTCTTTACCGTAAACGGGGTGAGCAAAGGAAGTGCAGTTTGAAAAACAAATGATGTAAAGTTGATATCCACACGACCCTTGGGTATAGGTCTCACACCGTCGGCAGCAGCTTGGATTTCAGCTACCAAAAGTAAAGCATGATATATCGGACAAGGTTTATATAGCAAATCGGGTGTCGACCGAAGGTGGGGGCAATTGCAATTTGACCTTGGCAGGCGTGGGCACCAAGTAACCTGCTCTCCAAAACGTGCATGTTGAGCTGATAACGCAGCCAACAGCAGCCGACGGCAAAGTTATCACCGAGGTACGTTTGAACCTCCGTGCGTACGTTATCGGCGCAACAACTTGCCTCGGCCGGATTGTTTTGTGGGTTGATTTGCTGTAGATTGGCATGAGATGCGGTGCTCATGTCAGCAGCATAGAAAGCCTTCCAAAGGGCAGCTTTGGGCCTAGCAGCCCTGCCGGTGTACTGCTCTCATTTTCATGCATAATGAGTCCAATTTATGATTCCAGTCTCCCACCACCATCTCCGCAGATGACGGACATGCTTTACGCCAACGTTGCGCTCTGGCGCGAGGCACTTGGTGTGGCCAGTATCTGCAGCAGCAGCCCTTGGTTCCCCGGCCTGCACCTCGCGGCGGCAAGGAGTGCCCAAACGCGTGCTCTGGCTGGGGAAACTGCAACTACGATACGGGCATCTGCGAATGCCCCGCAGGTACTTAAAAGGGCCAGCTGGGGGCATGCACATAATCACGGGAGCATTCATCATGCAAGCGCATAAGCCGGTAAATACATTTTCCATTGGGCTTACGCCGGGCTCGCGCTTGCAAGCACCCTGCACCGCCTGCGCTCCTCCCAACGCTGGGCTTCGTCGTTCGCCGCGTAAGACTGGTCAGGGCACTGTCCCACAAAGCCGTACACATGTAAGCTTCTACACGCCAACCCACCTTGACAAGATCAGCGCGCCATCCCAGCGCCACGGCCTGACAAAATAACGACATTCGGTGCTTAGCTCCGCCGGTACCTGTTGTTGTGCTTGTCGGGTGAGCTTCCGGACCCGTATGCTGTATCGAACTGTGCTGTGCTGTGCTGTGCAGGCCGCACCGGTGCCGATTGCGGGCAGGAGCTCAAGCGACCGTGCAGCAACCGATACCGCCACCCCCACGAGTTCAACGTCACAACTGCCGTGGTGGGTGTGTAGCGTATGACCTGTGTCGAAAACATTGGAAGATCCATTAGTGCTTCATTCTCATTCCCATTTCCATTTGGAATGTCGCATCATCATCATCATGATAATAATAATAAGCTGAAGCCCTCTCAGTGCGAAGGGGCAAAGGGCAGGAGTAGTCGAACCGTACCGGTACGGGTACATTTCTCAGCAGCCAGTCACGTTCCTCGAAGCCACCTGGCACGACACCAGCACGCACAAGCGTGCGCGGTGATGAGGAAGCGGCTGGGAGGCGTTGTGTATACAGCAGTGTAGCCGCCTTGCATCTGAGGGTCCTCAGGTGGTCTTTTCGATCGGCTGCCAGCGGCGACATGTATATGCATGCATGTATGTATGCCTGTATGACTTAGATTACACTGTGGGCCGCGAGGGCCGGGTGCCGAAGCCAAAACACAGCGCAAGGGTCGGGAGCACACCGCACAAGTATGTATGTACTCTGTTCCGCAGGGCCATCTGGGTGGCGATAACCACGACTTGAACCCTCAGGAGCCGGGTTGGCTGGCGAGCCGGTGTTACGGTAGGTGGTCCTGGGCTGGGCCCGGGGGGAGACAGCGGGGAGGCACGGCAGCGGGCTGGATACAGCACAGCAGCGCATACACAGCAGCACATTAACGGACGTGTGGGTGCGTATTTCCCCACAGGGCAGCAGTGTGCCCTGCTGCTCACCGGCATTGAGCAACCTAGGTCAGGCTTGTCGGGTTAGTTCTAATGGTGGGTAGGTTCTTTCCCCGGGAGAGGTGCAGTAGCAGCGAGTGATGGGTTACTAATAAGCGCCTTGCACTCGCGTGAGTCGATGTACTGATGCACAATCGGCAGCACAATGAATAAATAGTAACAAGAAAAAGAAGAAAAGAGAAAGAGGAGAAGAAAATAATCATAATATAATAATAAGAAGGGTACATCACAGCCTGAACTAAGGCTGAATGTGTTAAGGTTGCAGGGGTGGAGAGGCTGTTATGGGTTTCCCTCGATGGCCTTGTTCTGCATCTCCCTCCCGCCACCACGGGAAGGTGGTGTGATACTTGTTGATTTTGTCTCCTTTCGCCATCTTGCGTCAGCAGCTCGTACAAATGCGGCACGAGGCCCATGCCGCATAAGTTGACTCCGGTCAACTTTGCGTTCGCCCTTTGTTGGCTGCAGCATCTTGGGTCCCCGCTCCCGCCTGCATCCATCCGCGTATCCATCTACTATCTATCTACTTGCATTCACTATGTTTGCCGCTAGCGATGGCCGAGAGAGCTACGTCCCACGACTGCTTTTTCACGCCACCAACCTGTCCGGGTGTTTGCCCGACCTGCGGGTTGCCGCACCCACCCACCCCAGGGTACTGCCTGGACGACATCGCCATGTGCACGTGCGGACTGGATAGCAAGTACCGCCACGTACGAACGATAATATAGTTATACGTGCGCGCGCAGTTTTAGTTTGAGCCGCGACACGGGGGTGTGTATGTGTGTGTGTGTGTGCCTCTCAGCGAAAGTTTTTGGCTAGGAAATGTCTGCGTCGCTCCAAGTCCATCTTTAATAAGATGGACTCCGTTGGAGGGAGCATTTAAATGGATGGAAAAGCAGCAGGAGCCGTTGATTCAGTCATCTTTCATAGGTCAACCGGTGCCCGCGGTGCGATCTCCCCCCCCCCCGCCGGGCGACAGCCGAGTCCTTGCTCCTCTGGGGTACGTCACATGACCACCACCATTATCACCATGTGTCGGCATTGCTTCTTTGTTTTCGGACCGACCTAACCAGGTTTACTTCTTCGCTGTTAATCATCTATCCACCTACCTGCCTTCACATTTACCTACCTGCCCACCCTCCGATGTGTGTGCAGATCCCGCCCCCGCCTGGTTCTCCTCCCTGGACGCCCCCCGTGCAGTGGGGCCGACCCATGACCGACTCGTGCATGATTGGTCACGTGAGCACACCCCGGGATGGCCCACGGGGCCCTGGTCGGGTGGTGCTGGGGCCGCGGGCTGGGGGGCCGCGGGCTGGGGGGCCGCGGGCTGGGGGGCCGCGGGCTGGGGGGCCGCGGGCTGGGGGGCCGCGGGCTGGAGGACATTGCGGGGAGGCAGTGCTGCGGGGAGTGACAACCTACTGCTACGTACGTGCATATGCACCTGCGGTCATACGTACATAAGTATCATCATCATCATCATCATCATCCGCTGCTGCTGTTGTTGTTGTTGTCGTTGTTGTAACAACTAACCGGTGGTACGTCACTGGAAGTTTTCTCAAGCGGGCCGGCGTACTGCCTGGTTAGGCATCATCCGGGTATGGGCAACTCGGTGTGTTGTGTCGCAGGACAAGGACGGCGCAGTGTTGGAATGGGGCCGCCCGTACATCAAGTACGACGATGTGTACGGCCCCAACGGCTGGTGTAACTCGCCCAAACCGGTTCTAAAGTAAGCGATGCAATTTTGCCATACCTAGGCACAATGGGTACCTGCTGGGCACAACGTGCACAAATCTTAACGTCCAAACCCGTTCCAACGGAGATTACACCAAACGGCCTCAAGAAGAGCCATCATCATTTCTCTGTTCTGCTCCTATTTCGGCAATCTTTCCCATCTTTTTAGTATTGTCCGTACCCGGGCTTCGACACACAGTGCCTTGCACCGTGCGCTGCTTGCACGCACGCACGCACGCACGTGCGTATTTCCCATTTCACATTGAAGTGCTCTGATGCAGTCCGCAACCGCAGGCCCACACACACCCGACTCTGTCCTGGCCCTGCATACATTCCCTCTCACATCTTGCCGCCGACCTTGTTGACCCGGCGGGCTCCTACACGACCGACGGGACGGGACGGAACTTCGTGCCGTCGTCGCCACCGATACGCGATGATGGGTGATGCGTGGATGCTGCAGCTGCGGATGTGCGTGGGTGAGCTCGTGTAGATTCCAAAGTCGTCGACGGCCTGGAGAAGTACGCAGCAGCAGCAGCAGTCGCAGCAGCCGTGGTGAATGAAACCTGCCGGTTTTGCATGGCTGTACAGCGGTGGTTTTGGCTGGAAGTGCTGAACACTCGAGCTATTCCATGTACCTGCTTAGCCATGAATGTCTGTGAGGACAAAAGTGACGGGCAAAAGAAGAAAGAGCCCCCTCGCAGCCAAAATGACGGTAACTGCGAGCAGCGGCTAACCATAAATTGTAAGCTCGTGTGTGCGTGTGTGTGTGTGTGTGCGTTGGCGTTGGCGTAGGCATAGGCGTGTATAGAAGCTGAGCGGCTGTGGGTTCCACTGCCGGCATGGCCCTCCTCCTTTGCAGGACGGCAATGCCTGGCCATGCGATGGGTCGCGGAGGTTTGAGCCCTTCTGCGTCAACCAATGCACTGGACATGGTGATTGCTATATGGGCTTCTGCAGGTCAGATACACCGGACCGCTACCTGCAACATCATCATCATCAGCAGCAGCAGCAGCAGCAAGAGGGGGGCTTCGTCCTCATGGCTAGAGCTAATTGTTGGTGGACTTTTTAAAACTCCTGAAACTCTCCTGTTGCAGGGTCTGTGGGTTCTGTTGTGCACCAAGTATGATTGCGACGGGCAGTCTTGAACCTCTTTGACATCATCATGAGGGCGGGAGCACTGATAGCGGCCCGGGTGGAAAGAGGTGTGGGGCAACATGGAATCAATCATCCTGCACAGCAACTGATAGCCACAACGCACTCGCAGCACGCGTGTGAAAACACTTCCGCTTGCCCCTTTGCCAACCCCCCTTTGTTGCCGGACACCCCGGCTGCCCCCAGATGTCATCCTGGCTGGTACGGCCAGGACTGCAGTCGGAAGAAGGCAGGAATGGAACTTGATGAGGGTGAGATGCGGCTGCTGCTGGAGTCACGTTACCGTGTGTGTTTTAATGACCTTCGGAGCCGCGATTGGGGGGGGGGGAAATGGCGATGGTGGTACACGAGGAATAACTTTACCGAAGGCAGCTCCGTAGTCACCAGCGACGTGTTACGATTTTGTGTATGAACGTATGTATGTCTATGTATATGTGTGCGTGTGTGCGCGCGCGGGGGGTAATGCCTGCCGCGTGCATGTGTGATGATGGATCACCCGGTCTACAGGAGTGATGGCAACACCGTGCATGTTGTGTTTTCCTGCATGCGTAGACTGTGGCGCTCGTCGCCCCGTAGCTGCTAAGCAAAGAGCGCGAACGTGCGGAACTTGCGACCCATGAAACCAAACATGGCTGAACATGAAACATGAAACCAAAAACCCAGCCAGTAACAGCAAGTCAGAATTGCTTCCTAACGCATCAACGCGTCCGAGATAGGCTTGTCCTCCATATGCCCGCCAACACTGCTGACAGACGCTGTCGCCCTCCCCACTCCCTCCCCCCACTCCCTCCCCACTCCGTCGGTAAAAACTACCCTGTAGGCTACCTTTCCCAGCGACCCTGGCTCCGAGGTACGGTGGTCGTGCCGCCAGCCTCACTACCGGAGCCCCAGATGCCCACCCAGATGCGGCCCCTCATATACGTGAGTACTTGGCAGCCGAACGCCCCTAGGTACGCGCAGTGTTCGGGTTCATCATCTCATGTGCGCGTCTGTGGGTGGCGCTCAAACAACCCTACATTCCTATTATCCATACATCCATACATTCCTATTATCCATACATCCATACATTCCTATTATCCATACAACCATACATTCATACATTCATACATATCTGCATGTGGACAAACTCTAGGGGTGATAGCTGGTGTTGGCGCTAGGAAGGTTTTGATGAGCTAACGAGCTGATCGTGTAAATACCCCATTTGCACGTACTGCGTTGCCAATTTGTTTCGTCAGTAATAAAACAAAACCGAGCCGAAAACCTGTGCATGCGTCAAGCCGCCTGCTACAGCACTATTGACAGGCACCATGCGTCGGTAATGTAGCACGCATGCCAGCAGCCGCCAGTAGTAAGTGGGTAGTAAGTGGATTTCGTGTGCGGATGCATGCATGGATAGCCGCAGCGCTGGCAGACCTTATATTCTCCTCAGCGTCAACGTTGTCTAGGTGTACCATAATTTTGGGAGCTTTAACTGTGGGGCCATATAACTGCTGAACGTCCCATAACCAGCCGTATGTCCTCTGCCTGCCTGGCGGTCTGCCAACAGGTGTACGACATGCCGCCCGCTTACCACAGCAGGATGCTGCAGTACCGGATAGGCAGGTAATTCAGAGGCGGGCGCGGCTGATCAGTGCTTAACGACTTTCCTTTGCTGCCGGCTTTGAATTTACGTATATAATCCCTCGAGGTTGGTAATCAAGGATAAGAATAAGCGGATTCCAGCCATTCAGTAAATAATAAGCTTGTTGTTGGGGACCTATGCGGCAGCTTACCGACCAGGCAGGGGGGGGCCCCGGGAAATGATGATGATTACGATGATGATGGTGGTGCATGGTGGGCAAGTGATGTACTGCACCGATCGAAGGCCCGGTTTGCGTGTTCAATCGTGTGCGACAGGATTAGTCGTGTGCGGAGGAAAATGATACTGGAAAGACCTACAGCAGCAGCAGCAGCAGCAGCAAGTATATGCACACGTGTGGGTGTGTCTGCGCATGTGTAGCCTGCATCTGCGGCCGGTCACAGGCAAGGTGGGAAGCATTGGTACACGCGCACCACGTACGCACATTACCAGCTGCTATCATGCTCGCTGTCGAGCTCCAGGAGCATGAGGAGCTAAATCTAGTCTTGCGTGAGCCAACATCTACTGATTGAAATCCCCTATCTGGATACTCCATATTCATCGTGCACACGGAGGCTGTAACACGTAAGCTGCGTAATGTCCTCCGGTTGTGCAACCCTTCCTGGTGCTTGGCCCTCGGTCCTTACCCACCCCTTTCCCGCCCTCGCCGAGTGACTTGTATTTCCCGCGTGTCCTCGACCATCCCGGGTCTTTCGCCTTCAACCCCACTACCTGTTTTCCAACCTACCTACTTACCTGCCTACGGCCTATCCCTCCCCCGGCCTGCAGTGACGCCTGCATGTGGCGGCGGTTCTCGGAGGCCAATGACACGTACCTGTTGTCTATGACTTACAGTGTCGAGGTGTACCTGCATGAGATGATGCTGCAAAGCGAACACAGGTGAGTGAGGGAGCAAGGTGGAGGGAGGGACGAGATGGGATGGGATGGGATGGGATGGATGAAGAAGCCAGAGTGTCGAACAGCCGCCGGGACTAGGAGATCCACAAAGGGAGGGGTAGATTGGCTGCGTTGGCTGCATCTGGTTGTGGCGGATTGGGACTTTTGACTTTCTGGGGCCAACCAACAGCACACGGCGTAGCTGGACGGAGTTTACAGGAGTACTGGGCCGTGCATGTGTCCTGCGCTCCATGGGCTTGCACACACATGCACACTTATATACCGGTGCATAACCCTCCTCAATACACCTCGGACTAGAGGCCTGCGGGTGAGACCTCTCGGGGTCTGAGCCGTGTGTGTATGTGTGTACATATGCCTGAGACGTGATGTGCCCACTTTCAGTGGATGAACCCACTTTCAATACCTTGTACGGGCTCTGCAGGACGTTCGACCCGGAGGAGGCGGACTTCTTCTACGTGCCCATGTACATCACCTGCTTCATGTGGCCCGTGATGGGCTGGGCGGACTTCCCCTGGTGGCATGCACCCCTAGGTGTGTGACTGTGCGGGGATACACGGGGATGTCAGATGCTGTAGGGCCCTTCTTCTGGGTCTTTTCCTGGGAAACCAAAGAGTTGCAAGCGATGGCGGCGAGGGACCGGGTTCCCCGGGCGTTTCGAATATCGCTGTTGGTCGGGTCGAGTGGGGAGGTGTTCGTTCTCGCAGCTCTGGGGGCAGTAGCAGCTTAGCAACAGCACCGGTGTCTGCCCATCACCGGCCTGTGTAGCGCTACGGAGCGATGTACCAGCGCTGCGGAGACATAAGCAGTTGTGGGTTCAGCATTATGTGTACATCCCTTGGACCACCGTGCTGCTTTTCCGCTCGCCCGGGCTTTTCCCCCGCCCCAATTGGGGCCCTGTCCTGCCCCGCCCCAGCATGCCCCGCCTACCACAAGTGTTTCTCTCTATGTTCTGATGCCCCTTTGCTGTGCAGCATCTTGTTATTTGCCTTCCTCCCGCACCGATTTCTCTCTGGCTTCTTCTGTATTCTGTTGTTTTGCTTGTTCATTACTCTTCGATTTTTTTAGAAGAAGCTTTGTTGATGATGTTACAGGGTGGTTAAGCTTCACCAGTGGCCTCCTTCCTGAGGCAGTTCCCTGCTCTCCCCTGCTAGAGGGGCACCCTAATCCATTCACCCCATCCGACTTCAGAATGTACTCTTTGAGTTTGGCAACTCACCACCGGCATCCAACCAAATCTAGCGGATCAACGGCGCGTCAACTTAGTTCCTGGTCAGCTCGCAAGTTGATTTTATCACGTCCTACACCGTCCACAAGATGGGGGGCCACCTCCCATTTCATCACCTCTCCCTGAACCCGGACGCGCCGGAAGCAGAAGCCAGGCCTTAACCTCTGCCACTCGCCTGCCTGTCTTTGTTATTATAAGCAACAAAGTATTATCTTGAATCGATTGTAATAGCTGTATCACAGCATTCTATTGCCTTTGAAGAGCTGGCAAATAGAGGCCAGCAAAAAATACAATAATACGCTCTCACTTCGAACCGTCAGCAGTGTCCCAATGCTGGCAGGCTGCCCTAAACACCTTTTTTGAGGCCCCCTCACGTATGCGTGTATGTATGCATGTACGATCGACTCGTGCATGTGGGTATGTGATTATGTGGCCGCAGCGCACACCCGGCCTATGCACGTGTCCAACATGATTCTGGAGGCCTACGAATGGCTGTCCACCACCTTCCCCTGGTGGAACAGACGGGGAGGGCGGGACCACATCTGGCTGGTGAGTCTCGAGTGAGTAGGTGAGGGAGTGAGCGAGTGAGTGAGTGAATCAGTGCTTAGGTGGGTGGGTAGGTGGGGGAGTGGGTAGGTGGGAGAGGTAAGGAGTGGAGTGGAGACTGGAGGGTGACCAGCGGCTCGCTTCCTGTGCCCGTTTGGGCGGAGTGGCAGCAGCAGCGATGGCAGTGGCTTCGGGGTGCTGGGCTGTGGCTAGGCAACCTGCGTGGCTGGTTGACTTAGGGCTGGCATCTGCAGAGGGCGATCACAGGGTGAATGAGAGTTCAGAAAACATGCGCGCGGTTAGCTGTTTGTTGTTAGTTGTTCTTTGCATCAGGCCGGGACTATTTGGACTATCCAGTCCAGTTTCCGCATTGCTAAGTGCCGCCCAAGCAAAGGGTTTGCGGCCAAATACGCGGAGAGTTACCACTGCGTTCCCGCAGATGGCCCCGGACGAGGGCGCGTGCTACATGCCCACGGTGGTTTACAACAGCTCCATCATCCTGACGCACTGGGGCCGGATGGACCCCGACCACAAGTCCGGGTCGGCATTCGACCAGGTGGGTGAGAGGGTGGATGTGTGGTGGCCTGGGGGGCTGCATAGCGCCCCGCGGCTGCAGCCGGGCATCGGCTGGTTGGCGTTGGCTGGGTGTCGTTACGCGTTGTGGTGTTTTATGGGGAACTTCCATTCTCTTGTGGTGTATGAAAACGGGGTGTAAGGAAATCCTAGCCATGCACGGACTGACTCGCGAGCCTCGGCTCTGCCGCGTTGCTTTGCCCGCCGTGTGCACCTCAACCGGATGCGGCGACAGCACCTGCACAGATCCCACCACAGTGTTCATACAGGTGCAGCTGGTCATCATACAGCAGCCTGATTGCGGAGATTAGAAGATGAAGATGGTGCAGGTAGTGGTGCTGGGTTATCATAGTCGGGAGCCTTCGTCGGCCCCACCGGCTCAAGCACCAACACTGGCCGGCCGGCAGCGACAAGCTCCTCCCGCGTGTTTGATTCGTTTATGACTCAGGACATTTATGACAAGGATCTGCCGGTGGCACAATTTAAGGGCTGGAGGGGCCTCGACTGGATGGAGAAGTCTCGGCCTCATCTGTGTTACAACCCGGAAAAGGTGTGTGCTTGTATGTGCTTGTGTGTGCGCGTGTGTGTATCTGTTACATATCAATCCAGGCCAGACACTGGCCAGGCATTCCACCGAACGCATGCCCTACAGCTGTGCGATCTACCCATGATCTCACACCGATATCAATCGCCACCTATCCATGCGAATCCTGCCGCCGCCCGGTTTCGTTATCCAACCACCATCTGGTATACAGCCTGGTCCAGGCCGTATGCAGAGTTATTCCTCCTCCGCCACTGTTCCGCGGCAGTGTATAGGTCTTCATGGTGAGCTTCATGACTCCTGCCGCCCAGCGCACCGGAGGAATCTAGTGTCTCCAGCATTCGACACCGCGATCTATCGCGATCTATCCCCACCCGGGGGACCAGCGGCGGGATCCGAACCCACATCTTCCCATAAAGCTAGATACCGTCGCTGGGATTCGAAATCCAGACATGCCGATAATGCCCTGTATATATATATATATATATATATACATGTGTGTGTGTGTGTGTGTGATTTCACATAGCCTCGCCACGGAGCAGCACTCACACACGCTGGTGAGGGAACCTTGTGTTGCAAATCGATGCGGACTGCTACCGCTGTACACATGATACGGTAGTCTGTTTGCGGTGGTTGCGTGGAATTGACAAAAGGGGTGTCGCAGCGGCAGCTAATGAAGCGTTGTCCCGCGCACGTCTTTTCCTTGTCCTTAAAGCGCTTCACCCGTTTCTGTATATGTTGGCGATACTATTCCTCTTCATCGGTGCTCCGACCCGCTGAAGTAAGTCAGCACAGACTTGATTCCCGCTACCGCCCCGCTGTGGCCTTACCCCACCATTGTTGTGTGCAGGACCTGGTCATTCCCGCGTTCAAGTCCCCCGACCATTTCCAAGAGTCGCCCCTGCTTGGGGCACCCCCCTTGGAGCGGGATATACTGCTGTACTTCCGAGGGGACGTGGGCGAGGGCCGACGTGACCATTACAGCCGTGGTATCCGCCAGAAGCTTTTTCAGTAAGTTTATATAAAATATGTATGTATGTATACATGTAAGGTTCCCCCAAAACTGATGTAACTATGGCGATGGTTTAAGTGCGGACCGGTGCTGGTCCTGGAGACGTGTGTGTGTGTGTGTATAGGGACTTGCTGACATAGTCTTGAGGTGTGCGGGCTCTGCGGGCGCTGCTTCGCTTGCCTTGTATGAGCTGTCGGCCGTTGGATGTCGTTCAATAGCAGCAGCAGGAGGGTTGTCGTGAGGCAGAATTGGCGATCTTCGCAACCCAAGCTCACCTACCAGCCAAGGCACGCGAAGGCAAGTCCCTTTGCAATGCCGCTATCCTTCGCTGGGGGCTGGGGGCCACGGAAGTCAGAGAGAGAAAGAGAGTGAGAGTCCATTTGGTGGACGTGCGATGAGAGCTTCCCGATCCTCAACTACCCCTCCAACCCTCCACCCCCGCGAGACAGGTTTGCTCACTGGGGAAAGTGGGCTGAAAAATACAAGATTTATATCGGCACCGGAGAAACGATCGGGGGCTCGTACAGCGAGCACTTGGCTCGATCCAAGTTCTGTTTGGTGGCCCCAGGTGCGTGGTGGTGCGGTGGTGGTGCGCTCTCTCTCTCCCTCTCTCACACACATACACACACACACGCACACACACACACACACACACCCGCACACGCACACACACACGCACACACACACACACGCGCGCACACACACACACACGCGCACACACCTATGGAGCACCACCAAATGCCGCGTGTGGAGCTAAGTGGGGCCTCCGGTCGGTGATCGCACTGGACGCGTCGTGCGGCTGACAGAGTGACATCCGCAGTGACATGCATCATGAAGTATATTCCGGGGTTAGAGGAGAGAGAGAGAGAGCCTTATGAGGGGTGCCTCCTGGAAGCCCCCTTGTGCAGGTCCACGTGAACGGTTGCGGACAGGCGCCCGTGTTGAAGCTGCTTGTTAGTGTATGTCTTGTATGTATACCGTAGGCCAGCTGCGGGTTGCGCTGGTGGCTTTGCGTGCGTGTCCCTGCAGGTGATGGCTGGTCGGCGCGTGCTGAAGACGCCATCCTGCACGGCTGCGTCCCATTGGTGGTGATGGACGGAGTGCACGCGGTGTTCGAGAGCATCCTGGACTGGGACTCCTTTTCTATCCGCATCCGCGAGGACAACCAGGCGCTGCAGGCAATACCGGAGCTGCTGACGGCCATCTCCCCGGAACGGCTGGCCAAGATGCAGCGAAACCTGGCCAGGGTCTGGCACAGGTGGGCGGGCGGGTGCGGCCCGGTACATGAAAAAACTGGAGACATATAAAAAAATGAATATACGCTATACGCTATGAATATACGCTATCGGTGCCGTTCCACACATATGCGGTTTGTACGACAAGTATGTTTCAGGGCCGCAGGGCAGTCCCATGCGTTGTTATCGCCGGGCAGTGTTTCAGCTACGTACGGCACTCAGCGACTGGACTCAGCGGCAGTCAGCTGCTGCCGCAGGCAGGGTCACGCCTCTGCATCCCTCTTACCACATCCCGTCCTGGCAGGTTTGCGTACGCCACAGGGCCGGTCATGCGCAGTCACTATCGAGCCTCATCGGAGAACATTGTGCGCAATTACCCTCGGGAGATCCTGGAGGCCTCGTACAAGTTGTCGCAACGCGACTCCCCGCTCCGCCCCGTCACAGACTTCCCCTTCCAAGAAGACGCATTCAGCACCATCATGCAGTGGCTGTATCACAGAATAGATAAAACTAGGTAATTGTGATTTATTGATTGATAGAAGCCGCAGGACTAAAGCGCTCTTGGTAAAGTGTAGTTAGGACGATAATTGTTATCCTGGGCTGATTAAAAGCGTGAACTTACTTATAAGGAACACTGCTAAAAATACCTTGCACCATGGCTGTATACGTTCAATTTTGATGGAATGGCTTTATAAGATTAATGTCGTGTGATTCAAGCATGTGTGATGACTTGCAGCGAGCGAGGAGGTGTGGCCATCACACCATGTGATGCTATGTCGTTAGGTGAATTTTGGGGAGTGAGGGACGAGCGTTTGGTAAAGTCCCAAGCACCTACATAAGGATGCCATATCCCCAGCTGGGCACCACCAGGCCTGTAATCCCCAGTCTATATAGCAGGGCAGGGCAACAAATTTAATAATGCAGGTTCGCATACGATTAACTTACGGATTTGTCCATCAAAGCCCGCATCCCTAACCCAATTTGCGCTTCTTGCAGTGGACCTCGATCGGGTCGAGTGCAGCACTCTTAATTGACACCTCAGTGAGAACTCGCACTCACTTCACTGGACATAAAACCTCAGCTAGCATGCTAGCAAACATAGGATTTAGACGAGAGCGTTTCGGTGGGCGATCCCGGGCTGCAAAAGGAGGTAGTTGGGCCCAAAAGTCAGAAATTACCACACAAGTAATGCAGTTTAGGGCGGGTGTAGACAGTGCCATAACACCTTCAAGTCCTTCCCGGTTTAGTAAATACCAGACCATGATTGACCAGATTGACCGAATTAATGGCCGCAAGTGTTATGAGCATTCCGTTAATTGCGGTAATGACTAACATATCCTCTAAATCAGGTTGGCACGTTCGATCTGTCCATCAGTTTGAGGATGATGAGAAGAGCTAAACCGAAATGAGGAACCAAAGCGAGTCTGAATAAGGTCTTTGAAACACGCAGTAGTGAACCGCGGGTCACGATCGCAGACAATCACTCGAGGAAGACCATACCGAGAAATGACGACATCAATAAACAACTCAATTGCCTGAAGAGCAGTAAGGGTTGTACGGCAAGGAGCAAAATGAACCATTTTGGTGAGTCGGTCAACCACGACGAAAATGGCATCATTACCATGAACGTCAGGAGGAAGATTAGTAATGAAGTCCATAGTAACTTAGGACCGCTTTTGAAGAGGAATACCAAGAGGTTTAAGCAAACGAGCGGGTTTAGTATGTTCAGGTTTAACACGCTGACAGCTATCACAGGAAGTACAGTAGGCTGAGTAAGAGTAGCGAGATTGGTATGGTTAGCAAAGTATCAGTAGCATCCAAGGATCAGTAGCATCCGGCACGCACATCTGCTTCAAGCGTTGGAAGAGAGCTGAAAAACTCTGAGGAGGCGCCAGGCGGCGGCTGCCAACGCTCACATGGCAATGGAGGCTTACATCTCTTTTGTCATCATGCTGCTTCGATCCGCGCTACTATCCTTGGCCTGGATTCTTCTCCATTTGGGCCCACCTCCTTTGCTGGGTCTGCTGAATTCCCAGATAAGTTCCTTAACTCCTCCGGTCATTCCTTCCTGGGAGTGGCTTAAGGATTGGCTTACTGTTAACGTGTCGTCAGCTTCTGATCAGCCCGACTTTGTCGCAGCTCGTTACAGCAAGGCACACAACTCCCCAACACACCTACAAACAGTGGGCAGCGGATCCTCAGCCACAAACGGTAGGGGGTAATATCGTCCGGTGGTAGTGCCAATTCATTCTGCAAGGCCTCGCAAAAGCCCCAACTAATGGTGCAAGTTCAGAATGATCCAGCCGAACCATGCGCACACCACACAGGCACTTCGCAGCAGGATTCTCCCTCTTTGATGCTGCGCTCTATGTGCGGGAAGGCATCCAAAGGGCTTCTTTACGTTAATTATCCCAATGAAGACGCCGCAGTTGGGAGAGTGTCTGACGAAACTCCAACATCGTGGGTATTGGCCAGATTCTCTGGCGAAAGCACGACATCGACCGCATCCACAATGACATCCTCGTGTTTTGCATACATCATATTTCTCAAGGCCGAGGTTACTAACAACGGTGGTGCAAACTTAACTATTGAGGTGAAAGAGTTTAACCACCGCTTGACCAAATCTCCAACCCAAACATTGAACAGCCCGTTTCCAGGCTTCATCCGGAGGTGGCACGATATGGTTCCCCTCACTCATAGCGATCCGCGCAGCAATGGCCCATGAGTGGGCCAGACGGTTGACGAATTGTGATATTTGAAATGCGACTGCCGCTCCCTACTCCAATGAAGTCAGAAGTGGACCCCAGCACATGTTACGCAATCCTCCCTGTACAAGGGCTGTGTGAAACTGATTTGTGTGTTGGGCCTAAGTAAGGCCCTGCAAACCAACTGTTACTAGTCATGTCAAGGTCGGGCAGTCTCCCGACACTTCTGAGAATCGTGATAAATCACCCCTGGCACGTTTCCCCCTTTGTGGAAGCAAACCATAGCGGATGGCCCGCCAAGTGGATATGGCGTATTATTGCAAGGAGTACCCGAGTCCAAACGGGGTTAGTGTCCAACATTTCACACATACCGACAATCCCCCTAACTGCCAGGTAGGCATGACGAGTACAGACGTGCTTCTTAATTGGAAGGAGCCCGAATCCTCCAATGGCCTGCAGAAGCGGTACCTGGTACACACATCTGGTGCACACCGTTGTTCAATACTGTCCTGGGCTGTGTGGGTGGCAAGCACTGTCGGCTGCCGTGTTAGCCATTAAACAGGGCACGGCATTCCCATGCATTCCAAGTGGTACAGCACTGGCTAACAATGTAAACCGATGCCATAAATGCCCGACCAAACATAGGCAAATGCAAACCCACCACCTTCACCAGGTGTGGTAGCTGGTACATAGTACGGCACACATATCGTCCACAAAGATGCGCCAAGGTGCTCCACCAGCATTCTGAAAGGCCTTCTCAGCGGCCAGCTACTACACCAGGATACCCAGGATCGGGGTCAGCGAAACATCCTGCTGTTCTGGTGTTGGCCGATCCATGAACCGAATTCCTAGCACGCTGGCTACTGCCACTACACAAAACCACCTATTCCTGCACCCACAACTGGTACCAGCATGTCCAGGACGGTCTCATCCAGGTCATCCACAGGGGTTGCTGTGGTGATCGGGGCAGTGGTACACACCAACAGTCCCCAGCTGCAAGTGCTGGTGGTTGGGCTGCTGGTCTGGTGGTGCAGATTTAGGTGCCCCGCGGTAGCAACTCAACCTTACGGTTATCGAGCCGTTGTCTCGAGGCAGCATAATAGACATCGTTGTCCATTTGAAACAGGAATGTTTTGCAAGGCGATGCACTGGCGCTCCATACTGCGACGCGGTTAGGTGAATGTCGGCCAGCTTATGCCGTACTGCTGATGTTGCAGCCACGCTAGTAGTGCTTGCACTGGCGTCAGATAAAGGATGGGGGGCCAGCTGCAATATCCACCCAGCGGGAGGAGAGGTGGCAATTTACAAGCGCTGTTGATGTGTGCCAGTGAGCAGACGTCGAACCCATGAAATGAAGCCGTCACCCAACTCCAGGTCATGCAGGCACTTGTACATGAAATCTCGATCTTGTGTGTCACAAGCCTTGTAGAAGTCTAGAAACACTGCAATGTATGTTCTGTGCTCCACCACATGGAGCAATGCAGGTGGAACGAAGTTGCATGATGAGTACACTGTCAGCAGCTATTCGTTGACCCATGTCTGATTATGTCTGCACCAGATTGACTCGGTCAAACAGTGAAAGGTGCTGCTTGAGGATGCACACTAAGGTGTGGTAGTCCGTGCCAAGCAGAGTAATGGCCCGATAGTTAGCTGGCAACATGGGGTCATCCTGGAAGTCTTTATGTACCAGTTTTTATCGCGTGATGGCTTTGAAGACTGCAGCCAGCTGATATACCTGGACCGGTAGACAGTCAGCACCTGGGCTTGGCCTGGTGCTACTGCCTGGAGGGCGGCTGGCACTTTGTCGACAGTGACGGCCTCTGCCCCTAACCACCACCATGGCTTCTGGTGGGCAGGCAGGTTCACCCATGAACACACAGAGCATGGCGGACACGTGCACGGGCTTCTGAGTCCACTGGGGGTTGTGCTCCAATTTGCTGCCAGTAATCCGCCATGATGTTGGGAAGCTACTGTAAATTACTACACATTGTGCCATCATAAGACAGGAAATCGGCAGGTTACGGTAGATGGCCGAAGCTGGCTGGTTAGGGCTGGGCTGGAGTGTTCACCATATGCATCCATTCATGGCAGGTGTGTCGTGCAACACCAGCCACAGCATGATGTGCCATATCAGCCTGTACTGAGAGAGCAAGAACTGTGAGCCAAGAGAAAAAACATTCCCCTCCTCAACCTCTCCCAGAAAGTTCTCTGCCCGGGCTTGCACGGCAGCCTCGTCTGTAGCCCCAATTATCTGACACATGGATGGAAGAAAGTCTTCTGGGTCCGTGGGTGCTGAGGCGGCAGTACTAATTGACCCAGTTGTCGAGGGCATTTTCAAGATGCCCGTGGTCCAGGAAGTGCAGCCAGGTTCATGGAAGTCCCGGCCCTGGCATTGCTGCACCGTAGGCTGCATGGAAGGTGGTACGGGTTATGCAGTGGTCCGCCAGGCTCCCTGGCACTGTGCCACCGCCATGGATCGCCGTTCCAGGGCGTTGGATACTAGGATACGATCAATACCGGAGGCGCCTGCTGGATGTATGCATGCATATCTGAACAAGTGCTGTTGATTCTGCAATGGCGTTGACACCATTCGTTCGTACCGCAGATGTAGATGGTGCATCCAGGATGGGCTTGTTTAATCAGCCGCCCACACACGGAGTCTACCCTCCGCCAAGAGTGGCTGGAGACCTTAGAGAGTAGAAGCCCCGTTGTGCCTGAGGATTCACGTTAGGTAAGAAATTGCTGAGTAATGTATAGGTGTAGTCTCCCCAGCATATGGGTAGGCGCAGTAGACAACCATCCCCCAACACTGTGGGCTGGGGCTGCACTCCCGGGAAGGTTAATGCCCCACAGGTGAGTAGAGCGCTGTGGGTGAGTATTGCTGTTCCACCCTCGCGCCAGCTGTCCAGTGCAGTGTCCCATCAGGATGTCCATTGGCCCGGGTGGAGAGCCCGAGAGAGGTTATGGAGGACCGTCCAGGCTTTGGGAGACATGGCCTGCTGTCGACCTGGTCTCTTGGAAGCAGACTAAGCCACTGCCGAACCCCTTGGTGAATGAACTGGGCTGTCCTTCATCAGCGCTATTGTATTCAGAGCCTAGAAGGCTGCAGACATCGTGGGAACCGATACACAGGAACTGTGTTGCCCTCCTCAGAGGACGTGTTCAGGGCATTATAGGAAGTTTAGATCCAGGTGGGCGTCAAGGAACTGAAGTGCTTGCAGCCAAGTGTTGCCCAGTGATATGCCGCATACCTGCAGATTCAGAACACTGGACAAGGTGTTGATGAAGGCCTTGTCCGTATGAGTGTGTTCATCCTCACTCACTGAAAAGTTGTCCCGGAGCAGGGTCCATCAGCGAACAGATCGCTGCCGGTGTGGTCTGGCTGCCTCGGTTGCCCCCTGATCCGCCATCTGTGAGCTGTCAGCAGCTGGCGGGCGTGGTTGTGCCATGGCTGGTTGGGCGGCTGGATGGAGCTGCCTTGATTCCCTTCAGGTTGAGATGTGGATCGGCATGCCCATTATGTCAGCCAGCTCAGTGGTTGAAGAAGACACGGTGGGGCATCGCGTCGGGTCATGTGGGCCCAGCAGCCATTGCCAAGGCCAACTCCTGGGGCCCCATGGTTGTGGACAAGCCAAAGCCCTCGGTCGACTGCAATTGTACCTTTCCATCCACAGAGATGGGTGTCTCTCATGTCCTAGTGACGGTAGTGTTACTGTTCTGCTGTGTGGCAGCGGCAGTGGGTTCCACCCACTGCACGGTGGTGGTGGTGAATGGCTGCCGCTTTCCATCGATGGCGGTGGATGCTTTCCTGTCATGTAGCAACGGTGACATTTCCATTCCGTTGTATGGTGGTGGTAGTTGTCTCCCTGTGTGGTGGCAGCAGTGGCAACCAACTCCTGCTGCCCAGCAGCAGTGATGGATGGCCCCTGTCACCCAGCGACAGGGACATTCCTTCCTGCTGTATGGTGGTGGTAGATGTCTCCTGCTGCATGGTGTCAGCGGTGGCATCTGTCTCCTTTTGCCCCACAGCAATTGTGAAATAAACGCCGTTATTTGGGATGCAAGGAGGAATTGCTTTCCTTACACTATCTGGTCAACTTACCCAAGTTATGAAAGATTTCGGATAGATTCGGAACACCGGAACACGGAACACCAAAACAATCCGCTCGTTCCAACGCGCATAAACATCGCTCAAGTAGTATGAACATCAAGGAAAAACAGCACTAGCTGCTTTATCGCTCTTCCCGTGGTAGTTGGTAGAACACCGCACCGTACACCTTTTCCGTTGACCGCGTGCCGTTGACTGCAATAAGAAATTTTCACCAAAAAGGAAAGTAGATACGTTATCGCGGTTCTTTCCACGGAGGACTTTCGCGTTGTAAGCACGCCCACCATAGACTACTCTAAATTTGAATTCTTGCACTATAATTTCGTAACAGCCACCGTGGCGCAGCAAACTTGACCTAACGAGTTGCCAACTGTGGTAGCTACTATTTCATTATTGGATCGAAATGGTTTCCACACGGTCGGGCCGCGTAATATCTACCGAGGCAACATCGTTCGGGCGGATGACGCGTTCTCGTGCTAGGAAGGAGGCAGACGTGCATCAGGAGGATGCAGCTATTGATGTGGGCCAGCCTGAGGTTACCAGTCCAGCCCCACCAGCGAATTACTTTGCATCTAATGACGTGACGGCAAGCCCCGCCCTTTTTGGCGGTTTTGACAGACCGCTGGCAAGTCATCCAACAGCGGTGACCCCGATGCAGCTGGATAGGTCGAGCATCCCTTTTCAGGAGCGACTTGTAAAGACAGTGGGCAAATCTGCTGCCAAGACCCCCAGCGGTCGAACGGCTTCGATGGCGATAACGTCTACGTCAACGCCATCGGCTAAGGACGTGAAGCAGCTTGCCGCTGTTCCGCTGCCTGATGATGCGGCCACCGCTGATTCCGAGCCATTCGCTTCCTCGGAGGATGAGCCAGCTGGGCCTGCCTCGCCTCCAAAGGATCGGGCCGACTCTTTGCATGCTGCAACTGCTGGAACGCAAAGCGCGCGGCGGGCTTCAGGCACGCTCGGGTTCTTCTCGTGCAGCAGCGTCCTCGTCACGGCTTTGCTGGCCCTTCTCCTGTCGCCTTGCCTTGACCCGGGACACCTGGCGATGAATTCAAAAAGCTACGAGCGTGTTTGCAAAAGCATGGTTCTTATCCGCCACAACGCGGTCGACCGTACCCAGCAGCTGGGCGTCCTTGCCGTGGAGCGCGTCGACGCGCTGCAACGGAAGCTGCAGCAGGGCCTCCCGCCTGCGGCCGTCGACGCAGTAGAACAAGCTTGGGGTTCAGTCAAGGAAGCGCACCTCGCAGCGTGGACAGTGATCAGTCCGCTGGTTGAGAAGGGAAAGCAGCACCTGGGGCCTACCTGGGAACGCGTGAGGGCTCTTTGGGAACAAGCGCAGCCTGAGTTGCGCGAGATATTACGTAAGCTGGCCACGCACGTCATTCCTTTCGCTGAGAAAGCGTTGGAGCGCATTATGTCTCTTTATGTGCCACAACCGAAAGCCAAGCCCGTATCCATTACCTGCATCGATTTCCATGACTTCATGTCACTATTCGACACGAACTCTGTTCGCCCCGAGTATTTGCAAGAGCTGTGGGATCAGGCCGCTCGGCAGGTTGCCACCCAGCAGAAGGTTCCTACCTGGCTGTTGACCTGCAAGACGGAGGCTGATTGTATCGAGGCCGCAGCATTTCTCCAAAAAGCAGCAACGAGCTTTATTTACATCGATGGAGCTGTCTATGGATTGCCGGAAACAGACGGCCAACTGCAGCGCGAGCTCGCCACGTTCATCCGCGCGTACCCGGACGGGCTGGTGCTGATAACACGGCCCGAGCAACTGCATCCCAACAGCCTCTCCGTGCTGGTCAACGCTGCATCGGAGAGCGGCCACCTGCAACTGGATGGTCGACCCGTCGTCTGTAAGCGGGCTCTATTCCTGCTTCTGGCTCATTACCCGGCTGATGTGGAGCAGACGCTGGCGGTGAAAGAGTGGCTTGGGCAATCCATCTTCTCCACGGTAAGTTGGCACATTTGCTGTGTGCAATGAAAGGGAGATTCATGTCGTGCATGGCACCAGAGGTTCATGTCGCACCACACCGGCGAAGACGAGCGATTTCACTCTTTATGTTACGAGCATCAAAGAAGAATTTGGTGCATGCAACGCGCACCGCCGTAAACTCCCCCCCTAACGCACACACAAGCTTTCTTGTCCCATGCCTGCAGGATGCTGACGCAAGCCAGGCTAACGCAGGCCGGAACTCGGCGGTAGGAATGAGCTTCCGACGGCGCGTGGACGCAGTGCTTCCGCTCGGCAGGCTGTCTGGCGCGTCAAACATTTCTTAAGCCCGTTACGGCGACATAGGGCGACGTGGGAACGGCTCTCGCTTGGCGTCGTACTATGTGCATGGCCCGGCATCTAAGTTGACCAGGAGCTTATGTTTCTAGCGGGTATTAAGTGGAGGTGCCCACGAGATGCTGGTTGCATGGATGTGAGGGGTTGCAATAATGCTGTAGTGATACGGCGGACTTATCTAAGTCTAGAGCGCGTCTGACTCACTGTACGAAGGGAGTACCGTGAGTTTACTAGCACGTGCAAACGAGTGGTAGGCACGGGCATTGCACTAAGCGGACGCATGGCGATGCAGGTCAATGTCTGAGATGAACCTGGGAGAGTTGTGGTCAGTTCTTGTCGTGGTGTTTGCTGCTTGTGTGGCTGGCATTCGTCATACGGTCGTGCACATGTCACAGCAGCTCTTGGCTTAGCTGCTCATTCGTTACTGTGTGTGTTGGCCTTCCTCATTTTTGAATGCATATGGCATAATACTATGGCCCAACTATAACTAAATTGGCGTATTGACCCTAGGAGCTGCGGTATTCAGCGGCCCTCAAGAGAGCACTGGCTTGACTTTTCGTGCAAATGCTGCAAAACTCAGTTCGTCATCGCCAATCTTATGGGCTTGGGTCAGGACCTAACATTCGTCAGCATCGTTCTGTCCAAGCTCGACGCAACCTTCTTCCTAGGGTCCATGCCTGCGCGAACAGGGAGAAAGAGGTGAAGCCTGGAGTTTACGAAGGGTATGTGATGTTGGAGTAAAAGCTGCACTGAAGAGAAAAATTAGGGAACATCCCAAGGGCTTAAGCCGTTATGCCTGTGTGTGCTGGAGGATGCATTTACTACAAAACTATATATTTCTCGCATATACAGGTATTGGACATGGAAAGGCTACAATATACGCTACCAAAGGAGCGGCGACCAGGGAGAGCCGGTGCTGCTTGTGCACGGGTTTGGGGGAAACGCAGATCACTGGCGGAAAAATACGCCGTCGCTGGGTGCGCGCCACCGCGCCTTTGCCATCGACCTGCTCGGATATGGCTTCAGCGATAAACCGAACCCCAGGTAGCTCTACCACAATAAGGGGCCGCGTGCTACGATGATACCCTCCCAAGCACGCGAGCATCCGCACCTCACAAGGACTGGCCAGATGCATGATGCGTCCTAGGCTCACATAATCTCCACCCCTCAACCATGATGCCTGCTAGGAAAAAGGGGTTCACAGGGGTCACAGATGACTGCGGATGGGAGACGGCGCCTGCGGGGGTTGTGTTGTGCTGGGGGATGGCACCACTGCTCCAGCTGGCCAGCTAAGTAGGTGCAAACGGTGGGCGGTCAGGCCGCGTTTGGTGGAGCCGTATCATAACCACGTCAAGCAGCGCACGCGTGGAGAGTCAAGGGAAGCGTGTGTGGCCCCTGCGTTCTGCTGGCGGCCCCGCTGTGGCCCCATGAGGCTCTGGGGAAGAGGTTTACGCACATACACAGACGCGCCGCGCAACTCCACGTTGACCCCTCCCCTCTTCCGCCAGGTCCGCCCCCCCCAACTCGCTGTACTGCTTTGACAATTGGGGTGAGCAGCTGACGGACTTCATTCAGCAGAAAGTCGGGGAGCCTGCCTTCGTCGTGTGTAACTCTGTGGGAGGTGAGTGCAGGGGGGATGTGAAGGAGGTACGGAGGATTGGGCCGGGGGAGCCCTAACCACAAATCCCCTTCCCCCTCCCCTTCCCCTTTCCCTTCGCGGACTTCCCACAGGTCTCGCGGGTCTTCAGGCCTCCATCTCCGCCCCTCACCTTGTTCAGGGGGTGCAGTGTTTGGACATCTCCCTGCGGGGGCTGCACGTGCGGCGGCAGGCCTCCTGGCAGCGGCCCATGGTGGCGGCATTCCAGCGCCTGCTCAGAGACACCCCGGCGGGGAGGGCCTTCTTCGCCAACGTGGCCACGGAGCGGGTGTGCGGGGTCGGGAGAGGGTGTGCGGGGTCGGGAGAGGGTGTGCGGGGTCGGGAGAGGGTGTGCGGGGTCGGGAGAGGGTGTGCGGGGTCGGGAGAGGGTGTGCGGGGTCGGGAGAGGGTGTGCGGGGTCGGGAGAGGGTGTGCGGGGTCGGGAGAGGGTGTGCGGGGTCGGGAGAGGGTGTGCGGGGTCGGGAGAGGGTGTGCGGGGTCGGGAGAGGGTGTGCGGGGTCGGGAGAGGGTGTGCGGGGTCGGGAGAGGGTGTGCGGGGTCGGGAGAGGGTGTGCGGGGTCGGGAGAGGGTGTGCGGGGTCGGGAGAGGGTGTGCGGGGTCGGGAGAGGGTGTGCGGGGTCGGGAGAGGGTGTGCGGGGTCGGGAGAGGGTGTGCGGGGTCGGGAGAGGGTGTGCGGGGGATCAACAGAGGGAGAATGTGGGGAGGGGCAGCGCATCAGGCCGCAGCCTTCTCCCGGGTACGTGGCCGTGCTGGGGGGAAAGTTCCTATATAGGGAAGGGACCACTGCAGGCCCTGGCCGACCGCCACCTCCCCACCTCCCCACCCTATTACAGACCGTGGGCAACATCCTTCGTCAGGCGTACGGCCGCAAGGAGGCAGTTACGGAGGAGCTTGTTCAGGCAATCCTGCGACCAGGGCTGCAGCCCGGTGCCGTGGACGTATTCCTGGACTTCATTAGCTACAGCGGGGGCCCACGTGAGTACGGCAAAGTTATTACTGTGCGGGTTTACTGCTTCCGGATTGCTGGCACTATTTAGACACGTGCGTGGAGACAGGCACACAACATACGTCAATACACACACACAAACCGCGATATCAGGAGTTTGTAATAGGGAAGTGCCTCCTCCTTTCTTTTCCTTCTTTTATCCTTCCTTGTCGACCTTTCCTTCGGCTCGTTTAGAGCCGACATGGGTCCCATCTGGTTCGTTTTCCTCCTCCCTCCTCCCTCCTCCCCCTCAGGTCATCCCTTTCTCTTCTCACGTCAGTTTTGTTTACTCTTTCGCCGCCTTTACACTTACCTTAACTACCTTACGGATTGGGTCTACTGCCCTTCTTTCGCTCTTATTTTAGCCTTGGCGGCTAGGTAGGTAGGTTTCCGCTGTCGTCATCACTGCTAACATCATCGCGAGGACTGCTTCTTTACAACCGCCGACTGGTTAGTTCTGTTTTCTTCACATCTGCCGCCGCAGCATCCTTTCCTTGGCATCAGCTTCACCCTCCTCCCTCCCCCACCCGGCCTCCCCCTCCCCCACCCCACCCCATCATGCAGTCCCCGAGGACCTGCTGTCCGCCACCCGGGTCCCCGTCAGCCTGGTGTGGGGGGAGGCGGACCCGTGGGAGGATGTCAACCTGGGGAGGCGGCTGTTCGCGCAACTGCCCGCTGTCGTGGAGTTCGTAACACTGCCTGGGGTAGGTCGGGGTGGGGAGATGGAGCGAGGGGAAGGTTCAAATCGTCATGGGGGCAGCGAAGCTCCGTCGCCACACACACACACACACACACACCTCTACCACCTGATTGGGGACACATCCGCCCATTTGGGGGTTCGTGTCGGTGACTCGGCCAGGGCGCATACACCGATCTTCCCGTCCCCCTCCCGCCAAGGCAGCATTATAACCCATTCCCATTTATCCCCCCACCCCCACCCCCAAAAGGTGGGTCACTGTCCCCAGGATGAGGCCCCCGACCTGGTCAACCCCCTCATTGAGAGGTTTGTGGCCACATATGCCTCCAAGAAACAGGCGGCTGTAGCAGCCGCGTCCGTTAGCACTGGTAGCAACAGCAGCATCAGTAGCGGTGGCGGCGGAATGTAGCATCATCAGGTGGAGGGAGTGTTGCTCGAGGGGAGGGATGAGGGCCGAAGAAACTTAGCATTTTATTGTTATTGCTATTGGCTTCCGGGCTTGGCTGGCTTTGTACAGTACGGCGATATTTCCTGACGGTATAACCTGAGGGTGTGGTTCCCCCAGGCTTGTACACTCCTGCCCTGGCAGCAGCTTCACTCGCTCGTGGTTCGTCTTTCCCCCCGGGCTGAGGGCTGAGAGCTGAGAGGAGGGCCCAGGGGAATTGCGGTCCGGAATGGGCAATGAGGAGTGTGTCCAAGGGTGTTATACTCTTATATATTTTTTATGGCAGGTAGGGCCTTTGAATGCTACGAGGGATTAAAGTTGCAATCACGGAAGGGTCAATGCAGTCACGTACCCGGCAGAGGTGCTATTTGGCTACTTAGGACATAGGCAGAGAGGGCAGAGAAGGCGAGAAGGAGAAAAAGACAGAAAAAACGAGTTGAGAGAATTGTTTTTTCAGCTTTTGCATGAGTGGAATGTGTTTGGTGGTGTGCGGTGCCGGGGGGCGATGGCGGCTCGGTGTGGTGGTGGGGGAGGGAGAGTGGGGAAGGACCGCGTTGGGGAGGAAATGGAGTAGGAAGTGGAATGGAGGAGGCGCGTGAGGGTGATGTAATGTTACCAAGGGGTTTAGGTTGAAATCGGGGCCCGCCTACAGAAGGAGCATGAGAGGGAGAGATAAGAGAGATATAGAGAGGATGTGAATGTGTGTAATGCATCTGCGGGTTGATGGGTGGTTGTCCGGTGGAGTGGTGAAAGAAGCCAAATGTAAACTAAAGGATTAACGGGCAGCTTTTGCCCGTTAGACTTCTGCCGAGGACTGCTGTGGGCGCGTCTGGTAGCAGCGACTTGCATGAAAAGGGGTGCTGGAGTGGCGATATGACGATATGCGATATGACGACAGCCCGCCGTTTTGGCTCCGGGAACTTGTACCCCGAAGACTGCCAAGACTCCCAACCGAAAGCCCTTAAATATATTATGTTTTACAGATTTCTTTGCTGGCACTGTTTACCTTTCCCGTATGCTGGCAGGCCCCCGAGTTACAGAATTTGTAAACCCTTCATCGAAACGCAATTCAAGTGGTGCAAGAATGGAATTAAATCTATAATACCTTTGACAACTATTTGCAGGAACAGCCGTAATACGGGAGAATTTCGCTGGCACGTCGAGAAAAACATTTTCCGGGGTCACCCGTATCGACAATTTTGTCACGTATGCACACCTCAAGGAGTCCACCATTTCGCTGTTCTTTCTATACATCTGTGGTGAAGCTCAAAACCAGACGTTTTTGTAGCTATGAGATACCGGGACCTGCCTCATCGCCACAAGAACATAATTGTAAAATAGCTGTTCGGTATTGAGGCGGGCGGGAGACCTGTTCATAAAAACTTGCCAGGTGGTTGCATCTGGTCGTGTCGTGCATGAGACAAGGACCTGATCTAACCCCACACCCCATCGCATTGCTATTGCCACCAGCCTCTTCGGTCCGTAATTTATAACCACACACACACAGCTTGGGGGAAGGGGGGAGGAGGCGGGCACGATCAGACCGGAACGTGTACTTGGACAGGACTAATCGCGGCACCCCGTTCTGCCCTCCGTTGCACGAGTCCTCCAGAACGGAGGAAGCTACTCCACAACTGTATTTTTTTTGAGAGACACTGAAAGAGGACATAACTATCCAGACGCGCTTACCCTTTCGTAGCCCCAAGTGCTGGGTGTAGTACATTTCCGTACGAACATTCCATTCGAGTTACAACAGGTTGTATCCAGGGGGTTACACACACCTACACACACACACACAGGGCCCGTCACGTATCTTCCCAAGGGACATCCCCCAATCATTCCCCCCCAGACCCCCCTGGAGTAGTAACCCGCCCACTACCACCCACCCGCCTGCTGCGTGCCAGCAGCACCCCCGGCCCCCGGGCTCCTATGCACAACCAGATAAATACACATGGACTTACATAGCCCACACATACATACATATATACATACACTCCTGGAGGTAGCAAAAGGTTCGGTTCCCTCCCGCCCCCTGCGCAGCTCTCCTCTCCCTTCCGCGACGCACTGCAGCGCCCGCCCCCATCCCTCTGCCCCCCCCCCCCCCC